TGTTGGATTTCTCTGAGGTAAATTGGATTAGTGCCAGGTTACGAAAGGATTAGTGCCTGAATACGAGAGTATTAGTGCCTGTTTATTAACTCTCTTTATATATATCAGTGGTTGCGTGTACTTAGTTATGTCGGTCCCTTGATGCAGTTCCTCTTCGTTTTGCCCCATTAGCCATGCAGACTCCATCTCCACCCATGCACGACTCATTTTTATGCCTCACAGCAACCTTGGCAATTCCACGTCCACCCAGCCCTTATAGCTCAGTGGTAGAGCGCAGCACTTGTATCCAACAACTGAAATGCTGAGGTCCGTCGTTCAATCCGGCGTGGGGGCATGCGATATTCTTCCTTTTTGATCCTGTTCCCATTTTTCCTCATTGTGTTTTATGTTCTCTCTCCCTTTTTTTAGACGGACGATTTGAGGGGACTGTGGATATACAAAAAGCCAATAACCCAAGGGGTGTCTGTCTGTTTGCTATGCTTGATTCGTGACGAGAAGTCAAACAACCCTATCAAGCCCTGACAGAGACACATCTGGAAATATATCCCCTTCCTATCAAGCAGCTCCTCGTGGGTACCCATCTCGGCAATGCATCTCTGGTAAAATACAAATATTCTGTCGGCACCCTTGATGGTTGATAGCCGGTGAGCAACAGCAACAGTCGTCCGATGATGGCCTCTTCCCTCACCCCCGTCAATGGTTGGTGCGCCTTTGGCGGCCGTTTCCAAAGCAGCCTGAACAACTCTCTCAGACTCAGTGTCCAAACTGGACGTCGCTTCATCGAGCAACAGAAGCCTCGGATTTCGGATTAGTGCTCGCGCAATCGCCACTCTCTGTCTCTGGCCACCAGAAAGCTGCAGTCCTTGTGTACCACAAAGGGTGGATAACCCTTCTGGTAGGGAGGCGATGAACGTGTCAATGTTGGCCTGACGACATGCCTCGAGGACAATCTCATCCGACACACCGTCGCCTTCTTCAGCCCCGAGAAGGATGTTATCCCGGATAGACATTTGGTACAACACTGGTTCCTGCTGGACCAGAGCGATATGTCTCCTGTATCGGCCAAGGTGCATCTGGGTAAAGTCCACCCCGTCAGATATAATCGTCCCCGATGTTGCATCATAGAAGCGTTCGAGCAGGGAGATCATTGTTGTTTTGCCGCACCCCGAAGCGCCGACGAAGGCTACAAATTGGCCTGGCTTGATCTGCTCGATTGTCAGTTATGGTGGTTACCAGGAGATGAACGACCAAGGGTTTACTGACAGTTGCAGAAATACCCTTCAACACTCTTGTATCAGGTCTCTGGGGATACGAGAACTGCAGATCTCGACACTCCAATGACACTCCGTCCTCGGGAATCTTCTCATCTACCGGTGGATAGTCATCCTTGTTGTCAGGCTCGATTGATGATCTGAGATTGAAGATCCAGTTTGCAGCATGCTGGGCTTTGGAAATACCTGTCATCTTGTTAGCAAAACTCTCATGGTATATTGTCAAGGAGTCGACATACTGCTGCTGTACGTGAAAAACACCGCAGCTGCTTCTCCCGAGAAGATAACGGCAACAAAGACAATGTAGAACTGTCCCATCGAATACTCCCCAAACGACACCAGCCTTCCACCATACCAGAAGCCTATCGCCATGCAAAGAAATGAGATTGACTGTGTAAGCGAGTACCAAAACATGGTCCAGCCCAGACTCTTGACAGAAGTCTTTGCGATCGAACCAAGCCCCTTCTCATATTTGCGAATAATCTCTCTTTCAAGCGCAAGAGATGAAACCGTCCGGATTGCCATTACAGCTTCGGATGCGAGGCCGGAGCTGTTAGTAAACCGAGCAGAAGTGTCACTATCAAGTTTCAACTCCAGGCGGATCCTCAAATAACCGGAGAACACGAGAGGGGGAAGGGCTCCAAAAATGAGAACTAGCCCAAGTTTCCAGCCATATACGAGAGCTGAGGTGCAGCTGGATAGCAAGTTGATGACAATAATCAGAATGAGAGCAATATTGAAGGACAGCAGCTCCTGGAGACTTGCTGGCTCTTTGTCCAGACGAGAAACCAAAGCGCCGGTTGTGCTACCCTCTTTATCGAAGAAGGACATGTTCTGGCGCAAGATGTTGTTGAAGACTTCATGCCGGTAATACGTGATTGTGAACTGGGCGAGGATGTTGCTAAACCACCCCAGTCCTGCGTAGGCGAAGAGATTTCCCAGGGCAAGGACGAAGAACATCAATGAGTAAAAGTCTCCTTGTTGGACCATGGCGTCGCCTGTCAGTGTGAACGAATCGAACACGCGGGACATTAGGATAGCTAAGACTGGATATGACGCGCCTAGATTGAACCATGTTAGTAGGCGGATTGACAGCCGGGGCAGGTGATGGCAGGTATATCTCGGAATAACATACCCCCAGCAATACTGCTAATTGCAACCATCACAAATGTTAGCAGCAGATAGTTCTGCTCCTTCAATATAATGCCGAGACAAGTCAACAGATTCTTTTCGCCAGCCTTAGCAGGCAGGGTGCTAAGACATGCTTTGACATGTGTTCCAACAGGTCCAGAATGGGACTCCTCTGGTCTGATGTCGTTCTTTCCGTCAAGTTCATCGCCAGAGTCCTCGCTGTCCTGGCTGTGTCCCAAGTTCTGTGCTTGGACTAGCCTGGAGTAGACACCTTGGCGAGCAACGAGTTGGTCATGTGTGCCTTGCTCAATGATATGGCCGCTCGACATGACGACAATACTGTCCGCATCTCGGAGCGTCGAAAGCCGGTGGGCGATGACCACCATTGTCCTTCCGACCGCCACATTATTGAGTGCCTCTTGTACTATTTTCTCTGCATTCGGATCCAACGCGCTTGTAGCTTCGTCCAGAAGGAGGACCCGAGGGTTCGAGATGATGCTTCTTGCGATGGCAAGCCTCTGCTTCTGGCCGCCGGATATCATGGCGCCCCGCTCGCCGATTTCCGTGTCGTAGCCCTATGTGCTGTGTCAGTGCCAGCCAGCAGTGGAGAAGGACTCACCAAGACAAAGGAACATACATTGGGGAGCGCTTCAACGAATTCATCTGCAAATGCGGATATGCAAGCCTCTTTGACCAATTTCTTCTTCTGCTCAGCGCTGAGATCTGCCATGGGCGTCCCAGAAAGTCCATACGAGACATTTTCGAAGACGGTACCGTTGAACAGAACAGGTTCCTGGATGCCGGTCAGTCAGCAGAAGAGGAAACTGGACAGGGTCACCGACCTGTTGCACCAATCGAATGTTGGTCCGCAGCCACTGAAGATTGTAATCCTCGATGGGCCTCCCGTCAAGTCGAATTTCACCACGGAGAGGAAGAAACCAGCGCTCGATCAGACCAACTACAGTGCTCTTCCCTGAGCCACTCGCACCGACAATTGCCGTTGTTTTGTTTTCCGGTATAACAAGATCCAAGCCGTTGAGCACCTGGGTGTTGGCCGTGAAGGGTATGCAAACTGGACTTTGCCAAATTCGATGGTTCCCTGGAGTTCCTCTGGCTTTATTCCGTCTTCGCCCAAAGAGTCAATTTTGGACTCACGGTCAATCACACGAAAGATCCGGTCCGCTGCGGCAGCTGCCTTTGATATCACTATTGTTTGCGGAGCAATTTGGGTAAGCGACTGGGCAGCCAAGAGCACGGCAAAGACCACACTGTTCGAACAGTGGTGTCAGTCACGATACAATCGTACTGGTATAATCACCACCTACGTGACCACAGTCCCTGGCTCTGATATTTCACCACGCTGGAACATCCGGATACCCTGCCAAAATGCCAGGGCATATGCGCAATAGATGCAGAAGAACTCGACCGAAAACATGACGGCATAATTGGGGCTTTTCTTCATGCCGACTGTCTTGGCCTCGTCGAGGACGGTCTCGTACTTCTGGGATAGCTTGGGAAAGGCCCAAAAGGCATGCACTGTTCGAATACTCGAGAATACATCCTCTGCGAGACGATTAGCTCTGGACTGTATCTCCATCAGCTGGTTCTCGTTTTTGGTGTCGATGACGACGCAGATGGATGTGATGATGATGATTGCAGGCACCGTGGCCATGATGATCAAAGTTAGTTTCCACTGAACGGCAAACGCGACTACGAACCCGGCAATGAAGGTTGTCAGGGCCTGGATGGTCAGCCCCAGCTTCTCCGAGATGCCCTGGTTGACGAGGTTGGCATTCGTAGTGACATGGCCCGAGATGGAGCCGGCTTCAGACAAGTCAAAGAAGGCAATCTCTTGGCGTAAAGCCTGCTTGAGGAAATCGGCTCGGAGAGCTTTCGTGATCCTGATACCATTTATCGAGATGAGAGTCTAGATAGCTTGTGATCAGTCGGCCGGGCGGTGGTACGGTGCCGGAGACGGGCCCAAGACTCACTGTCCAGATATACACCAGCACGAATTTACCAAGGAACAAATAGACGAAAAATAGACTGCGTGAGAGGGTGGGTCAGCTAAGCCCGTCGGTGTGCGTTAGAGACTGGAGAGGAAGGAGCACACGGACGTGTATTGGTTGATGCCGGAACGAAAGTCGTCCCCACTTGCCTTCCCAATGGCGAATTGCTGGAAGACGGTGACAAATTTGCCAAATACAATATCCATCAACGGCAGAAGCGTCCCAGACACAATCATGCAAATGACGGCCACGGCATTCATCCACCATCCTGCCCTGTCGGTATATCCAAACACCCGCTGAGATGCCACTTACAGTCAGTGAGGTCTTGGAAAGACCAAATGGAAGGCGTGACTGCTTACACAGTAGCTTTTGAAAGGCGAACTTGGCTCATCTTGTTGTTTCTTTCCGTCCCCAGGTTGAGCGGTCGCATTGCCGACTGATGTCATGCTCTCGACTGGTTGAAGGAGGAGCGCGAGGTGCGAAAAGGGGCCAAAACAACGGGCCAGCTCAAATGTGGCTGCAAAGTATCATGGTGACGATGGAAATATCGTTGGTTACAACAGCCATATCGAACCACAACAAGACGTGAATATCTGTTAAATTCCAGTCGTCACTGCCATGCAGGCATTCACAGATCAAGGACCGATCGGAAAGCGCGCGTCACTGGATCGGAGATATCGGGGCTCTGCCGCTCGGCCCAATCCGGCGAGCGCCAAGCCCAGGGTTAGGGGCCGTCCCTTTTGGGCGGAGTGGGGAACGGTGCTGAAGTGTCTCGGCGGAGAAATGCTCGGGATCCGCGGACTGCCGCAATCCTTCAGGCACAGACACCTCGACAGTCTGACGACGACGACTACTGCATTACGTAGACCGCTTACAAGTTCCAAAAACGCCAAAAAATCACGAGAATCAGTTCACTATTTATA